AAGTTCTATTGATGGGCATGAACAACACGCATGCCTACCTATTTTGGAAAGAGACGAGAGGTAACGATATGACAAGCTATACTGCATTTTCCTTTCTACGACTTACTGAGCAAAAAGCCTACCACAAGTGACCAACAGCGACATTCATATTGATATTTGCACTTTCGTTAGAGCAATCGAGAGGCTCCTTTCATTTCTCACTAGGTCATACTGCAGTAACATCGTTTTCTACGCATCAGTAGTCAAAAATTGGTCTTTCCAAGTGATAATTCATGATCAGAAAAAGATACCTTCTACAGTATACTGCAAACAACCAAAAGAGGATTGTGAATGAGTACTGTTGTACTCTAACATATGGGCATACTTATACAAGAATCGTAAAACAAAAGCCGCACTTTGACAAGATCCATCACTAATGGCATCAGTGTTTTTACAGTTGTTAGGCATTAGTCAAGAACGTGTGAAATCAGGCTAAATTGGCTTTTTAGTTGTTGACTGTTTAAAGTGGTTAACTAATCTAATCTGCGAAAACGGTGACAAAAGTACATGACATTTGAGATCGAAATTGGATGCTCTAGAGTTAGAACAATTATATCGCTGTCCAGGCACTGCACTGTTGTTAAGAAGAACGGCAGTCACAACGCAAATATGCTAGCGAATTTCTTAGCCTTAGACAGAAAGATCACTAAAACACAAAGAGAAAGCAGCCTAAAAGTTTACTGGCATTTCTGAAATAGAATTTTCAATCTCTGTCAACCACAGTAACCAGAGCGCACTTCAAACTTCGAGGGTTCCAGCTGTGCTTCACTTAGCGTTTGACCAAAAATAAGGTAATTAATTAACTGAAAAACTGAAATAATTGGTTATATTAAACATACGGGGAACAGTCGTAGGTACACATTTTTTCGCACATCTTAGAGGTACCGGATTCATACGCCATGCGTAAAATTTCTCCTGTTAACTGTGAATTCCTTTGACGAAGGAATTCAATTCATTTTGCCTCAGTGCAACCAGCTGAAATGCAAGGGGAAGTTCATAACTAGCGAACAATGGAGACATCGTGGAGGTCTGATGTAGTTACGTCAGGGAGTGGGAGATAATAGACCAATCTGTCCGATACGCATATCTTATGGCTGAAATTCGCTTTGTCCCAACTGAGAGCTGAACAACGATGGACGAAAAATGCAAATCACAATTTAAAACAAAAATATTCAAAAAACAACTGAATATCACAATACAGTCCACGAACTTGCACCAAAATGAAACTAATGCTGAATATTCGTTTCATACAACATTCATGGTTTCAAGAGCAAGCATGTGAAAGTCATTCAGAAGGAAATAACTGTGAAGAGAAAAAAATCACAGAACAAATAGACGCAAGTAAACATGGCACGCAAAGGAATTCGATTACAAGCATTCAAAACACAACTTTTTAAGAAGCTTTAATGAAAAAAGCTTAATATAATAGCCGAGAGTTGCGAAAAACAATTATACGATAGTTCAGATTATGATCTCAATAATCTTACAACGAAAATCAAATCACAACGGTTTCAACGAACCTGCAAGTCTTCAACGCGGAGCGAAAGGATCAGTTACTAAAAACAAGCTTTTGTCCGGGTATAAACAAACAAGGTAAAAAACTAAACCATGCTAGAATTTATACGCATATAACATAACTTAACAAGGAACACCAATGAAAATATTGCTGAAGATCACTGAAACAACAAGTTACTCATCTACCTGAGAGTGCTGGTTCTGCCAGTAATAATCTGTTACTGGCCAAAAGCAAAGCGTTCACAACTATAGACTGTGAGTTAATCAATTACCAACCAAACGGCAGGTTCCACGTAATTCAAATATAACCAACAATGGTCAGCCTGATAACTTGATTAACTAAGAGCTCGAACTTTAAAAAAAAATTCGTTAGTACATTATGCCTTTAAGAGTGACAGCAAATGCACATCAGAGACAAGGGTAGAGTTCTTTCGCAGGGCGAAAGAAAAGAGAGAAAAAGTTTATAAACAGTATCCTCTCAACGTTAAGCTTATCGTACATAACCGATCCCCAGTTAAAAGCCCTCAACAAAGTTTCTTGCCACTTTACCGTTTAGTCTACCGTTTCTTATCGATCTATCTGAAAGATAACGGGTGAACTGACCAGCCGAAATTCGAACTTATGATATCGGCTGCAAGCACTAGCAAGACCTACAAAATGGTACATGAAAACAAAACAGAGTTATAGGCTAAGCAGACGACACCAAAGATCTGATGTGCAACGGCTACAACATGACAGGTTCGCTAAAGCAAAAAAAACGATGACATCAATGAAAAGGACCTCTCCAAGCATTACTCTGTTGCACCGAAAAAGACGTTTATGGCAGCGGTAGGGAAACGCTGGAACGATTGAACAGTAAATGACCGCCAACAACAAACAACAATTTCGCTAACGCATGTTCATGCAACTGCGAAGAAAGATTCTTATGCCTATAACAGTTCAAGCCCCATGGAATACGATGGGCGAAGGCACTGGTTTATTGACACCTTCTCACAGACAAATTATTGATGCAGGTTTCAGGAATTCTTAACTCTCAGTTCGTTCAGACGTTCTGTACTGCTCTTTGTCACACTACATAGAACCGATCGAGCAGAAACGTTCGATGCCTGGAAATTTTGCCGCTGTAAATTTTTTACTTGCCTGCATTTTGTACACTGCTGACAAAACACCTGGCACAAAGACCTCATGCGCCGCATGACTACGCAACGTACAACTTATAGTTACATTCTGGTGCACAGGATAATCAATGTCATGTGAAATAACGAGATCAGGAAAGCGGCAGGTAGAGGAATTTAACGAACTGGGACGCCTCGATATTCCCTGTGATGAAATTGACAAATTGAAACTTTTCATCATGAGAAGATGACACACGATTCATAAGCTTAGAATTACGTCAAATCCATGGTGGAAAAGAACACGGGACTAATTTTTTTAGAATTACAAACTATTCAGACACTTCGTATGAAATTCGTCTTAATACATAGATTAGATCTTAAACTTCAAAAAAAAAACTTAATGGCGAATTAATCAAATTTTACAATATTTGTTTATCTACACCGAAAAGATTAAAGACTGATCATGACTGGAACCAGCGATCTTTCGACCCAGCCACGACAGGTATGAAAGTTTGACATGCACTTGTCCATAACTGTCCAGTGACACAGTAAGTACATGCTGACAAGATACGTGAACAACGTTGGTACAAAGGAATATTTGATAATTACATATAGAAAGATGAGCGCGGCGGACGAATGACGCTACAGCCTATACGTAAATTGTGAAGCACCACCCTCGAAGTTTATTTAGCCATGGAAGACCATGTTTGACCGTTAAGTGACCAATACATAATGTTCCACCAAAAACTATTATTTACTTGTTCATGAATCCAATGATCTGCAGGAGATACCAGAAGATGTAAATGATGTCGACGAAGAGTTGCGTAGCTGCAAATACGTAGTCCTCTGGCGAGATTTCGTACTGCTTTCCACCCATTACCATCTGAACGTCGATTGCCAAGTACTGGAAGAGTAAGTTAAAAAATTTTAGCCCAAAGAAAAACTTTAATTAAAAAACATACTGCCATAAACAGCAGAGTAGCGAGGCAGGCGTAAACCACGTAAATAATCTAGAAGCGAAATCATACACCTTGCGGCTGATCAGCGCTCAATTAAACATACATACCGGATTACGGAGTATGACGGTAAAAATGATGGCAATAAATCCGAAGAGCATCAATACGATTCCGAGGACGAACATCACCCCGACACAAGCCGTGAAATCATACTAAAAATAATAAAACCATGCTACAAATCACATTATTTCAATAAAAACCATTTTAAAGAACTTTCGGTATAGGTACTAATTAGCAATACACCAATATAATATCAGTGTACCTTAGTCTGCATCGAAAATAACACAATTGCCCCGCAGGTCAAAAAGCAACACAGTGCTGCCAGGAACACCACTTTGGTCGAGTAGAAACCGGCTATCGTAGCGGTCATGTACGACATGGCCAGCGTCTAAAAACCAAAACTATCGATAAGGTAAAACAGCATGCGCATGTTAATACTGTACCAAAAGAATCAGGCAAATCATATTACCGGGGAAACGCCTTCGAAATCCTGGGCAGCATCCAATCATCAGGTATGTGATTAAAAATGTGGCACTAAAGAAAAACCATGGCACTAATTCAGTTAGTAACAAATTCATAAAAGCATTATCCACTACCCAACCTGGTGTACAGCACGGTAGCTTTCAGAAGGTGGCTGCGAAATGGAATGAATGAATGAACAGTTACAAGACGACGAAAGATACGTACACGCGATTATTGAAGACCGATTCTGTACACAAATCTCATCATGGCATATACGTTTCAGATATTGGCCATTTATAAAAGTAAAGAACGACATGTCAGGGAACAGCGAAAATTGAAACATCTCCTCACACTCAGATGAAAAGAACACAACTTAGATGATGTGAGCAGATGAAGCTGCAAGGTACCTACTGAAGAGTGACACTCGTCAACGAAACGCCAGGGCTCTGGAACCCTGAACTTTGGCTGGTGAAAACATTTTTACTCAGGTGTCGAGTCTACGACTGGCTCTCAGTGCCTCGATAAAATTCGTAATAGCGTAACTGACAAAACCATTCAATGGAAGCATGTCAGTGGAAGAGGAGGAGTCCTCCGACTGAAGTTGCAACGGGCAAAATCTTTGACAGCATTACAGATATATGCGCCCAATTTAAAGAGGGAACATGCCTCCTTACTGGTCATTAAGACAGTTCTTATTCAGGCAACCTGTCCTTTAATGCTCCATAATAACTTCTACGCTGTAGTCCTTTACAGCCTAAATAATTTAAATCAGATCTGATTAAAATAATAAGGAATAATGAAAAAAATTGTCAAAAACAACGTAAGAAGTATTATGATTAGGAAGAGAGCAACGTGCAAATCAAACTTCGAGTGAAATAAATGAAATGAGTGTCTTCATAACTATTTTTACGAAAAGTGTTAGCCAGGCTCAAATGAATATCTTGAAGTTCAGTTATCCAACGTCGCCAATTTTGTAGCATGTAACATACTGCCCAAGAATTCAGCTTTGAATTGCGGAGATGCCGGGTTCGAATGCACCCAACGGTTTATCTCAGTCTTAACGACAGCATCGTGTCCTGGACTCATCATCTCACAGTGGACGAGGTTCACGGCCATGCTGTCCTAAACGATTGTTCCATGTGGCTGACAATTTCGCCCTGACTCATCTCATAGCCAATTAACCGGTATCATAATCGCACATGGTGTAAACAGGATTTCGATATTGCACTTGAACACATCGTGTTGCAACTACGTCAGAAGCAATGGCTTCATGAATGGCGATGATTTTGGATACTGCAATACTGGTTACGGTCAAAACGACGGATGTAGAGATGACAGCTGTTGGAAGACCTGTCTTCTATACACTTTCATGATGGCAACATTTCTGAAGGTCATGAGAGGGCGCGCTGATTTCCATATCCATGCCATTCGCCAGGGATGCTTCATTATAAAGGCAGAGTAGGCAGCAGCAATGTGGCAAGCATAGTGTGTCATCTCCTGTTTGCTTATCACAAAGTGGTACTCAGCTATATACCTAGGAAGGAAGGCCAAAGACTCCACCAGCACTCGACCCAGAACCCAACAGTTCGAAGTCAGACGGTCTACCGGCTGAAGAACCGTGACATAACGCAGACAATTTCGCGGCTGATCACCATAACCAAGACAATTACAAGAACATTATATGAATATGTAATAAAATTAAACAAATAAAACACTATGCAAAAGATGTATGCTGATTACAGTCATCATGTTCATATTCTTTATTGTCGTCACTTTGATGACGATGACAATCGCTGTTATGATTTTCTCTTAATCGTTATCGTTCTTACCTGGAGCCAGTGACCAAATGGTCATGATGACAAAACAATTATGAGGAAGTCAATCATGCAAATGACCAGGAATTAAAAAAATATGATAAAAAACCATGCTACTGATCACCAGTATTTGCATCTTTTCAATTTCATTCTCACGATGATGAAGCAAAATTGAAGACGGTGACGTTCTTATTGTCCCAATGATGACAATAATGAAAACAAAAACAATCATGATGAATATAGAGAAAAAGCACATCATAATATTGAGGAAAACAGCCCAAACCATGGTTGATTTATACACCATGAAAATAAATTTATCAATCAGGTGATTGTCCAGTAGCGACGTTTCGACTAACATCTCAATGACCATTGCCGAAGCAG